GAATCTTTTCTTTTACTTTTCCATAATTTTTGACTCATGTACTTATAACTGGTTTGTCAAATTTGTGTCTTCTAGGTTGCAACACCCCCATGATACATTTTCAAGGATATGAACATGTACGGCCAAGCACAATCAATAAGAGTGCATATAAATTCCAAAATCAATCTGTTTTTCAATTTCTTTATCCTGATTTATGTACAAAATTTGAATACATTGTTTTTCACAAAAGATCCTTCCCATTTCCTGCACCTCACCCACCTATCAAATTGTGCAGCCCTATCCCCTCCATCCTCACCCCTCTATTTCCACCCCCCACCCCCGCCTTGGATCCTCATAGTCATTCTAAAATAACAGTTTTATACAACCTTTATCCTTGTAGGACTGAGTTAGTTCACTCAGCATAATGCTCTCCAGTCCCTTCCAAGTTAGGTAGTAATTTACAAAATCATTACTCCTGTGTGCTGCATAGTATTCCATTGTATGTATGTAACAACTTGTCAATCCATTTGTTTGTGGTTGGACATCTGGGTTATTTCCATGTTCTTGCAATCGTAAATTATGCTGCTATGAACACGGGTGTACAAGTTTCTGTGTGAACCTTAGTTCTCATTTTCTTGGGGTATATTCCAAGCAATGGAATAGCTGCATCATATGGAATTTCTATGTTCAGTTTTTTTCTAAGATTTAAAGTATGCTGATATCCTGTAAACTTAATTATGGGCCTTTTATTTGAGAGAAAAAGAAGTAATAAATCATTTCATAGTAAGACCCCAAATCACGGGCAAAGAGAAAACCTCACCTATTTTGTAATTTTTTAAATTTGTTTTTCCCTTCCAGAGGATTTTGACGATGATGGTGATGAAGAAATAGACAAAGATTCGGATTCTGAAGATGTGAAAGAGGAAGTAGGTACACCAGCATTTGCTTCTAATGATCCCCCTTTCCATATCCTAAAAAGAATAATGTTGATTTTAGAGCAAAACAAACTGAAGCTGTTAACAATCTCAATCTATTCACCGCCTATCAGAATGCTGCCAATCAGCCCAGTGGTGAGAATCTTTGTTTTCTTGATGTTGAGCTTCAATCCATATTGAAGGCTGCAGTCCTTGACCTTCTGCAACAAGCACCTCAGGTCCTCCTCAGTTTCAGTAAGCAGGGTTGTGTCATCTGCATAATGAAGATTGTTAATGAGTCTACTTCCAATCCTGATGCCACATT